ACACTTGCTGCAATACCATCAACAATCAAGCCACACATGCCTTACAACCATCCTAAAGCATGTCCCTATAAACAAAATCATGAGTCAACACCGACCGCCAACCGTGGAAAATAATATGTAAGACACCCTAGACAAATTAGAGAAACATTTCAGTTGAGAAAGATTTTCTTTTCAAGGGATTTTGGTCATCTCTTTTGCTGTTCTTCAGATATATTACAATTTACAGATAAGCTTATTGGAAAAGAACACGATTGGACAATAATTTGGAGGAAATGGAGCACTGTATCAAACTGGATCCCGAAGACAAGGATCGAGCGATCCTATGTCGTAACGATCGCCCGATCCATGAAGCAAGGATTGACCGATTTGGGGAAAGGGTTGACAGATCCACATGATAGGAGACAACTTTCCTTTTTCGTGAAAAGCTGTGTGTTTGAAGACCTAAGAACCTAGACAATCAACCAAATACTCGCTTTATGTTTTTTCTTTTGTTCTCGAGGGTAGAAAACTTGCGAGAGAGTTTGAGAGAGACTCTTGAGAGCGTTGGATTTTGTAGACTCTTAGAAGCAGATTTTGTCATGTACTCATTTGGGGAAAGATTTGTTTATCCATTTCTCTATTTTAATAACAAACATATGATGTTTTATGTTCATACATTATGTTGTTGTTCATTGAGCATGAGTGAGTAGTATATTTGTTAGGTTAAGGGTTTTCTCATAGTGTTTTTCATGATGTATTGATTCTAGGACTGTTGGATTAGGGATCTATCAATTGGTTCTCTATTTAATGTAAGACTAAGACTTGTTTGATCATCTCGCCTCTGATTTTAGGATATCCAGTGCACCGGAAATGTTAGTTTGAATTTCTGTAATGACAGTAAATAAAGAAGGTGTCTTTAATCATCGAAAGCTGATGTTACTACGCTTTGCGAACTTATTAAACTTGAACTTAAAAGCTTGTTAAAAATCTCAGTTACAATGGAAACTATTATTCAGGATTCTGAGCGTAAGTAGGTTAGCTTCAGCATTGTGATTTGAATTCGAGACGTCGCTTAACTTTGATCGCTGCCAACTTATTTTGTGCTTAATAATGAAATGAAATTCTTGAGAAAATCTTGACTGTAGCGCTTTATTTTCTGCTTGTTCACGTTTTCTGAATTAAAAATTTGAAAGACCATAAATAATCTTCTTTTAAATTATTAGCTAGTAACTTATCTTAATACTCTACGTGTGATCTCTTGTTCTTGTGGATTCGATATTGTATTACTATTGTGCACTTCACTGTGCATTTGCAGTCATATAATCAGGTTAAAACCTAACTTATCATCAGAGGTTCGAAGACCCTACACCATGAATGGATCTACCATTAGGAGAGGAGGAAACAACGCCACACGCCACACAGTCGTCCGAATTTGAAGGTTGATTATAGATATGAAAATCAACCTACAAAATCCAATCTCTAAAACTAACCCTTTTGTCTCCTCTAACTTCATTACCTCACTGCAACTCAAGAACTCTCGCCGCTTCATCTGGCCAGAAAAAAAAGGTTAAGTATCGTGACACTCACAATTACAAGCATATAGAGAACGATAAGTTGATATTAAATTTTTTAGACTTCCAAGTTAAAACATATTGACAGTAAATTGAGTGTCCTAAGTTCCTTATATATTACCTATGTCAATTTCATCATTCTTATATGGGTTTTTTTTTTTTTAATCTCTAATACATTTCCTTGAGATGATGATGCGTATAAACATTAATTTTGACAGAATCCATCATAACCCTTTAAAACAAAATTCTCTTTATATGTGCAACAAAAACGATTCAAATTTTAACATGGTATCAGCATGATGCTTTTTATCCCTAACAATAGCAACACAAACGATTCAAAT